CCCCCCCCCCCTTTCCATTTCCCCAAGAAATTTGCGAAGACGAAAACAAAAAAAAAAGACTAAACGTTGAAGTTTTTCGTCCCATCATATCCCTCCCGAATATCCGATTGTCATAAGGAAGAAACAACACCATTACGCAACCCTCTCAAACCCCCATCTGCTCGACCTCCACGCCCGGCGTACTCGCCACCGTACTAACCCCCTCAGAGGCCCTCGAGAACAAACTCGAACTCCTGGATTCGAGCCTCGAAAGCACGGAGTCGGCAGTGGACGGCACCCTCAGCAAGGCACTGCAGACATCTTCGTAATGCGGAGCGTATTCCCTGTCTGGCACGCTGGGACTATATACGGGCAGGGGCTCTGGATCCAGGTCTTCTTCGTGGTGCTGCTGCTGCTGTTGCGGCGTCAACGGCGACGACGACGCGACATCTCTGCGTGTGCGGGGCAGGATCTCGAGGGGCGTGGTGGATTTGACTTCAAAGGTCTGGTTGTTGTACTGGATACCGATTGTAACGCCTAGCGTGTAGCGGCGGGTTACGGTGTAGGTTTTGAACGAGGGGATGCATTCTGCGTCGTCTAGGAGGCGGAAGGAAGTCGAGGTCAAGGCTAGGGTTTTGTTGAAGGGAAGCGGTGTTTGCATGTTGGAGCGTGAGATGCAGGTTACGTGTTTGGCGACGCTGTCTTCGGGGTAGGCGGTTGAGTTTCCGCACATGGTGGTGGAGTAGGTGGATATGGTGACGGAGAGGGTGGAGATGGTGCAGTGGCGGGCGGCGTGGTTGGCGGGGTCGCGGGCGTTGAGGAGGTTGAGGGAGAGGGGGATGTGGTCGCCGGGGCCGACGCGGATGGGGTGGTAGAGTGTGGGGACTATGCGGGGAGTGGAGTTCATGGAGACGCCCGAGAAGACTTTTTTTACGCGGGATTCGTCTTTTTCCCGCGTGGGCTTCCAGGATTGGCCGTAGAGGACGGAGGAGGTGGAGCGGGAGCGGGAGAGGGAGTAGGTGGGGGGGTTGGGGTGGTAGCGGAGGGGTTGCTTGCTTCGCTTTGTTTCTGTGGAGCCGGAGAGGATGAGTCGTGCTTGGACGAAGTAGGATATTTGGGCTGTGCCGTCTGGAGCGTCTGTTTTTAGATTGAATGTCGGTGGGAGTGGATGTGGTTCCCAGAGGTAGCTGTCTCCATGTGTCGAGCGTTTGTACTGAGGTTCAGTGGAAGCTGGGAAGATGAATTCAAAATTCCAGGAATATTTCTTTGGTCCAAGTCTGCAGTGGGAAAGCAGTTGTTTTTCTCGGTTGAATAGCCGTATCTTTTCTTCGTAGGTCTGTCTTGATGGAGTGGCATCGTTGTTGCCATGTGTATGCACTGGCCTAGTGGTTTTGGTAATACAACTCCCAGCAAAAATCAACTTCAGTGATTCAACCTCCTTTTGCTCTTCTACTGCTAACCAGACTTGACCCTTGACCTTTTCTCCTGCTTGGTATATCTTGTTGTTGTCGCCGTCTACGGTAACTCTTAGTGCCGGGACCGTCATGTTTGCTGTAGAGGTATAATGAGATCAGCCATGCAGGGACCTTTGGGGCTTAAGAGAAAAAAGAGCGGGTACAAACGATTGGCTTCAGGCCCGGCCACGCGGCTATCAGTGTAGCTGGTACGAGGAGAATGTTTGCCGGGGGTGGGAAGCGTGCCAAGCAATGCGGGACGTCTGGGCATGCAGCTGAAAGATGATAATGGAAGGTCAGAGGACTCTTTCTTGGAAACGGAGGCTGAGTATAGGCTTTATTGGGACTACATATTGTTTGTCTTTTGCCTTGGGCCTCTTGAAGTGCTTGGCAGGTTTTTCCGCTGACCGGGAGAGACCATGAAGCAGTTGGGATCAAGACAGGTACTTGGGCACACATGCGGGTTTGTACTGTGTTGTCGGCATGGGATGCTGGTAGTGAATAAGACTATAGTATAGCGGCCGTCTTGTTTCATGGGACGGTGCGACCCAACATAGGCCGTGGGGATTTCAGAGACATATCAGCCGCAGCAGAGTTTCAGTTCCAATCCTATTGATTCCGCAGAGGAGTTGGAGGCGGGAGAGAGCCAAGGAAGCGTGGTGGTCTTGGCTGGCAGTCTGGATCAGCCACGCTGATACCCCAGATTCACCCCGCTAGCCTCGTGCTGCTAGACCGACAACACGGGCTCTGGAATCTAGGTGAGGCCATGTAGGACCCGCTGTCCTGGAGCTGGACAAGCAAAGACCATGCTTTGGTTGACTCGTGGAGCAACACAAAAAAGACATGGACAATGTTGGACCACAATGAAGACGGTGAGAGCAGAAGCCAGGGTGAGTCATCTGTATCCCGCCCTGGCGTCGTGGCGTGGGCACGAAGAGCCCTTGGCTTGCGCCCAAGGCCTCGATGGCGGACCGACTCGCCAGGAAAGAATCGGGGAGTTGGAAGGGCTTGTGTGACTGGCGGCTTACGCATCCGATTTGCCTACCCACATGGCGCTGTAGCGAGCATCCAACCCGTGAACATGGAGGGCAGTATTCACCTCGAGCAGCTGTGTAGGCACGGTAGTTTGGATCAAGACTTGGGTCCCGAGAACTAATCACATGCCATCTGCTGGGCATTCCCAAGGCGGCATGGGAGCGTCAGCCTGTGGTTCGGCGTACCGACCCGCCGGCGCTCGGAACTTGTCGTCGAAACGTCATTAACTTTTTTTCGCGGCACCCGTTGGACTGTCCCCATTTCAGTCTGTCCGTCTCTAATATTCACAGCTGTTGCTATCATGTGTAGTGCAACCCATTCAATCTCGACATAGCACATTTGAACAATTGACGGCGCGGCAATGTCAGATGGCGGAAAGCGCCCGTCTTCTTACTGTAAGTGTGGACAGAGTAGAGTAGAGCAAAGCACAGCATAGCAAGAGCATGGCAGCAAGACCCAAGTGGCTGACACACGGGCTCAGTCCATTTCTTTGCTGGCTTGAACTCAGGCATTCTGTCTGCAGTTCTCCTCCAACCTGCCGACCTCCTCAAGACACGTGTCCAACAGTCTCGCTCAAGCACTCTTTTTGGAACCATCCAATCCATCGCAAGCGGACCGAATCCTATCCGGCAGTTTTGGAGGGGCACACTGCCCAGTACATTACGCACAGGCTTTGGCTCTGCCATCTACTTCTCCAGTCTCAATGCGCTGCGACATAGAGCCAGCCTGGTTGCGGCAGCGAGGGCGGATGTGTCGCTGAGGGGAGGCGAGCATTCGAGCTCGCTGCCAAAGCTGAGCAACACGGCCAACCTCGCCACGGGAGCATTTGCACGCACATGGGCCGGCTTTGTCATGATGCCAATCACAGTCCTCAAAGTGCGATATGAGAGCAATCTGTACTCTTACAATTCCATGTTTTCGGCATCAAGGGATATTTTCCGCACCGAGGGACTCAAGGGCTTCTTTGCTGGGTTTGGTGCAACCGCGGTGCGCGATGCGCCATATGCAGGGCTCTATGTTTTGTTTTATGAGCAGTCGAAGCGAAGACTGTCGAGCTTGGCAAGCAAAATCGAAGAGACGTCGGGCGCAGCGACCAAGCTCTCATCGAGCACGTCGGCCGGCATCAACTTTGTCTCGGGAGTAGCGGCAGCTGGTCTAGGGACAACGGTGACGAATCCGTTTGATGCCATCAAGACTCGCATCCAACTCATGCCCGACCAATACGGAAATACGATACAAGCAGGTAAGAAGATGCTTGCCGAGGAAGGGGTGCGAAGCTTGTTCGACGGGCTCGGCATTAGGATTGCCAGGAAAGCAATGAGCAGTGCGCTCGCGTGGACCGTCTACGAAGAACTGATTCGACGCGCGGCGAGCCTCAAGGAGGTGGTCGAGGATAAGATGTAAAGGCTGGCACACTGTATTATTATACAACTGTAAGTGCATGGGCGGCGGCGTTGATGGGCCCCGGCTAGGTATCTCTTCGCTCTACTCGAATATCAGGACAAGATGCACAAGTAATTTCCGATCGCTTGCAGCAGGTGCATGAATTTGGCGTTCCTGAGACTGCTATCTTTGGATGCAAATCCCTGGGATAGCTATCTTTGGTTGGGGGCCAGGAATAGCCGATGTCGCTGGCGCCACACACACACACACACTTGAGAGCTTACTTGCACGTGAGCAGCCTGTTTCATGGAGCGCTGGCAAGCTAGACATGTGCCATGCAGCTTGTATCTCGCGAACATTGTACACAGCGAACAGCGCACAGCGAGTGACATGTGATGAATGGTAGTGCAAGTGCGAGCTTCAGTGTACTGTAGCAGAGCTGAGGCTGACAGCAGCACAGATAGCGGGCACGTGACAGGCATCCCGCCCCCCGCTGCGACTGCAATGGGAAAGAGGGGAGGGGTTGTGTCAAGCGCGCTTTCCTAGCGGCGCCAAACTAGACGTCGCCCCACCATACCACAGCCTCTTTCATCCAGCACTGCATGGCATAGCAAGAGACATGGCCATTATCGCACAACACGCCATGGCAGTATCAAAGAGGATAACGTGGTGTAGTTTCGCCATGCTTACCGCCACCCATCTATCTGGCTGCAGACAGCTGGCCAAGGGCGACAGGCTAGTCGGTGTTCAGCAGACCAGCGCCTGTAGTGCCCCCCCGGCCTCAGCCCTGGCGGCAGCTGCCTGATGACTAGCTGCATCGCGGGAGCATTTCAGCCCCCAAAAATGTGACTTGACCGCGTCCTCGTCTCCTCTCAAAATCCCCTCCGCCGCACTTTCGAGCTGATTCCTTTCTGCTTACTTGCGTCACCTCGCTTGCTGCTCACGCCGCACCCGAGACAAAGACACAAAACCGCCCTGCACTGATTCCCGCCTTCCTTGACCATTGTGCCTTTTACATCCCAGCACTCAACACCTTTTGCCCGTTTTTCCCCACATTCCCTTGCCTTCCCATACCCATCATGGTGCTTTCAGACGTGTGGGATGACCGCTATGAGGACGACGAGTGGTACAGTAGGAAGGATCGTGTCATGTCCAGCGCCCGCCATGTCCGTGGCTCCTCCCCTCTGCCACCACCAAAAGCTCGAGACGACGCCATCCTTCGTCCCGACCATGCTCGTCGTACCAGTGAGTTCCTCGCTCCAGAAGTACACTACACTACCTCTCTCCACCGTACTCGCTCCCAAGGTCACGCGCCAGTTCCCAACGTGACCATTTACAACACCACTCGCATGGAAAATGAGAGTAGCCCCCAAGTACGTACCGAGCAAAAGAGCCGTGACTCCAGCCCCCGCGGTCGGTTAGAGGTGAAGCGCAACATGCCTGGTGCCTTTGAGCTCGAAGAGGAAATCACTGCACTGAGGGCAGACTTGAGAAAGGAGCAGCGTTCTCGCTCCCGACACGAGTACCAAGAACATCACCGCACGCCTGAGCCTGACTACACCGACAAGATCAAATTGACCCTTGCCGAGCAACGGCTCAAAGATCTCGAGTTGGAGCGGGAAAGAGAGCGCCTAGAGAGATACCACGAGCGTCGCTCTTCGCCAGAACATGACTATACCGACAAGATCAAACTTACCCTGGCTGAACAGCGTCTCAAGGATCTCGAGACGGAGCGTGAAAGAGAGCGATACGAAAATGAGCGAGAGCGCGACCGACTGGAGCGGGAGCGTGAGCGAGATCACTTGGAGCGAGAGCGTGAGCGAGAGCACTTTGAGCGAGAGCGAGAGCGACGCCAGATCGAGCGATACAATCAGCAGCACCATCGCCATCATTCGCCTGACCACAGTGCCGAAGACAAGGTGAAGCTGGCACTCTCCGAGCAGCGACTGAGAGAGGCCGAGGAAAAGCTCGAGCGGGAACGACAAGAGGATGAGATGAAGAACCGCGAAGAGCTCCTGAGGCGTCGAATGGAGCTTGAGTACATCACCGACAGAAGGGAGCGCGAGCGTGAGGAAGAAAACCTTCGAAGGTTCGAACAGAACATGCGCCGCGAGTGGGACCTCAAGCGAGAACGCGAAGAGCGCGAGCGCGAGCGACAGGAGGTTGAAGAAGAGAGGAAACGCAAGGCCATCATTGCCGAGAACCGAGCAAAGATGTCTCGCGAGCAGCGAGAAGCGGCTGAGCAGCGTGACAAGATCCTCGCTGATTTCGAGAAAGAGAAGCGAGAGCAAGAAGAAGAGCGCAAGCATATCCTTGCCGAGACCCGCCTGAAGCAAGCACGGGAGCAACGCGAGGCAGAGGACCAGCGTGACAAGATCATGGCTGACATGGAGAGACGAAAGAGGCAGGAGGACGAAGAGCGCAGGCACATACTCGCAGAGAGCCGACTCAAACAAGCCCAGGAAGAGCGTGAGGCAGAGGAACAGCGCGAAAAGATTCTAGCCGACTTGGAGAAGAAAAAGAAAAAGGAGGAGGCAGAGCGCCAGCGTATCATTGCTGCGAACACAGCCAAGATGGAGAAAGAGGCGCGGGAGCGCGAGCTTCAGGAGAAGGCAAAGGAGGAAGAGCGTAAGCGCATCATTGCCGAGAATACAGCCAAGATGGAGAAGGAGGC